AATAGGATGCCTTGCTGATTCCGTTCCATTGAGGACTACACTTAGAGATCTACCATGAAGGTAATCACTGAGGAGACATAGCGTAGAGCCTGCAATTCCCAGTGCTTGAAGTTTTGCTAGAGGCCCTGGTGCCACACCGGTCGAAAGCGCCAGCAATGTCCAGTGCTACCACACAGCTGACTTTGGATTCATCCAGTGACTGGTGCCACTTAGTGGAGAGGTTTAACAACAGATCAGTAGCAGAGTAACCTTTCCTGAAGCCATATTGACGATCACAAAGTAGTGAGTGGTAGTCAAAAAAATCTGTCATTTGTCTTGAGATAATTGTCTCAAGGATCTTACCAGTGATTGACAGGAGTGACACTGGTCTGTAGTTGCTGATTTCTGCCCTGCTCTTCTTTTTGTGAACAGGGACTACATTTGCCTCTTTCCATGGAGAGGGCCATTTACACTATACTAGGCAGTGCTGAAAGATGCGAGTTAGAGGTGCTGCTAGCTGGTCTGCACATCTTCTCAACAATCTTGGGCTCAACTTGTCTGGGGCCACAGCCTTTTCTTGGTCTAGTGATTTAAGGATGGAAATGCACCTCCTCCTGCCTTATTGGTCTACCAATGACAGTGTTGTGACACAGTTCTGCAGCAGCCAAGGAGGGGTCCTTGCTGAGATCAGGAAATGCATTTTGGTAGCAAAGTGGTCAGCAAAGAGGTCCGCCTTCTCTTGTCTACTAGTAGAGGGTGGGGGGGTCCCATCCTGTCGATTTAGAGGTGGAATAGGGATTAAGTTCTCAGGCAGATAACCTTGTCCTGTCCTTGACCAGGGCACCACCAGGTTTTGGCAGCCTACCCTACCTGATGCTAACTTTTCTTTTAGTTGTCCACCTCCATTTGAATGGCCCACTTTTTGTACGTCACCCATCTGCTACAGGCTTTGCATGTGCAAGATGCCTGTTATAGGTGGTAGGATAGGATTGTCTTATTACCTGCGCCATGCTTTGTACTTAGCACAGTAGCAGCCTCTCTAACAACGAAAGCACAAACCAAGGCTGATCTGTAGGTTTTGGAGGTCACATAATGCCGGTGAGGAATGTGTTTCTTGTTGCAGATTAAGGATGGTGTCCAGTGAAGGCTTTCACTTGGTTGTCAACATCCCCCTTGGAGAAGAGCATACAGTCGGTGGTGGCGAGCTCAGAGCAAAGGGGCTGGGCCAAATTACCTCTTTCCCATAGCCAGGTTGTGCGTTTGGACTCCTCACCTCGGTTCTGTTGGGATCTTAGTTTGGTAAAAACAGCCTTGTGTCAGACGATCCACGTAGAAGAGGGGTTGAACAAGTGACTATGCCTTTGCCGATCATCCACTACTGGGTCAAGGGAGGAGCCAGAAGATATGAGTAGGGAAATCAACAAAGTTTCTCATGTCAAACACTGCAAGAGGTCATCAAAGTCCCTCCTGGTAATAAGGTGCGGTTGAGGTACACCCAACAATTATAATATGATGGACAGTTGTGTTGTAGCAGAAGGGAGTCATATTTTCCATTAGAAGGTGTAGGGTCTGCAGTTGCCACTGAGGTCTGTACATTGCACATGCTAGTACAGAAGGTACTAGCGTTTTATACAGAGCATGAAGAACATTTCATTTCAAGATGTGTAGGGGTGGCAACATCTATGTGCTGTGGCATGAAACACTTTTAGAGAGAAGCACATGCAACACCACCTCCTTTGCTCCTTGCCTGTCTCTTCTCATCCATGAGGTGTAGCAGCACTTCTTGCTAAATTTTCTGGAGTACTGTTCATCCAAAAATGTGCGTTCAACAACAGCTATCATGTCGGACGTCGAGTGTTCTACAATGTTATGTGTGAGCTCTCCAACATAGTTTAATGAAACCTCTAATGTGGCCGACAGGATGCTGATGATGGTCCTCATGATGAAGTGGTCTTGCTCTCTCTCTTGCTCTCCCTATCTTTGCTCTTCCTCTCTCTTGCTCTATCTCTCTGGCTCTCTCTCTCTTGCTCTCTCTCTCTTTGGCTCTCTCTTCTTGCTCTCTTCTCTTGCTCTCTCTCTCTTGCTTCTCTCTCTTGCTTCTCTCTCTGGTCTCTCGCCTCTTGCTCTTCTCTTGCGCTCTCTTCTATTGCGCTCTCTCTCTTGCTCTCTCTCTCTTGCTCTCTCTCTCTTGCTCCTCCTCTCTTTTTGCTATCTCTTTTGTCTCTCTCTCGTGCACTCTCTCTCTCTTGCTCTCTTCTCTCTTGCTCTCTCTCTCTTGCTCTCTCTTGCACTCTCTCTCTTGCTCTCTCTCTCTTGTCTCTCTCTCTCTTGCTCTCTCTCTATTTAGCTCTCTCTCTCTTGCTCTCTTCTTGCTCTCTTGCTCTCTCTCTCTCTTGCTCTCTCTCTCTCATGCTCTCTCCTTGCTCTCTCTCTTGCTCTCTTCTTGCTCTCTCTCTCTCTTGCCTCTCTCTCTCTCTTGCTCTCTCTCTCTCTTTGCTCTCTCCTCTTGCTATCCTCTCTT